GGAAGCGCGGTGCGGCGCCGGGAGAGGGGCCGGGACAGCCTCGCAGGGTGGCCCCTTGGCGCTCAGCGGCCGGTGGAGCCACGGAAAGAGGTGAGGCGAGCGGCGCGCGTCCCTCGGCGCGCCCTCTCGCTGCCTTCCGCGCGTCTTTTCCTCCTCAGCCTCGGCCCTGCGCCCGGAGCCCCGAGACCACGTTCTGCTCCCGGAGACCCTCCCCGCTCGCTCTCGGGGGTCACCGCTCTCCCCGGCGTCCGAGCCTTCGCCCTGGGCGTGGGACAGAACCTCCCGCTGTCCCCGAGACCCCGAGGCCGTGGCGCGCGGAGCCTGGCCCTACTGTGTGGCGCTGTCCAGGATTCCCTGTCCCTGTTCAGGCGAGTCTTGGGCTCTTCACGGGCCGTACTTTCTTGTCCCTGAGCTTTTGTCACACGCATCAGCATCAAAAGTCTAAAGCGTGCACCTCCAAAGTCGCACCATTCCCAGCTCTGCGGGCGTCATTGTCGCTGTGCGAGGGCGGGCGGTGCCGAGAACCGCTCCATCCTCTTCTCTTCCCGCGACCGCGGCACGTAGACAGCGACTGTGCCCTAACAAGTGACAGGGAGGGGGTGGCCTGGAGCTCTGCGCCTGTTCTTGGAGCTGCCGATGGCTCAGAGCCAAGGCCATGAAGCGCAGACAAGAGTTGGGGTGCAGGGGTCCTATTACACCTGCATTTCTCACCTTGGATAGTGTGGCGGCCCTCCGAAACTTTTGCTCCATCACAATATACATTTTACGTACATTTGTTTCACACCCTCTTTAATATTTGTAGTGGGCTTTGAGGCTAGCAGACTTGAAAAAAATGATGTTTTGATGAATGTTCATTTGAGCGGGATTTAAGAATCAGTGTTGTGCTCGGAATGCTACGTCCATGCCCTAGCTCCTTCATACCTCCTTTGGACAAACTGGCAAAGCGCAAAGTGGGTGGCTTTCAAGGTTTGCCTATTTCTGGAGTCTGGAGGCCCTGCCTTCCTATACGTGTTTGCAAACGTTGAGGGCCATTCGTAGGGGCGGGTTTTTTAAAATATGTTCAACAGTATCAGAACAGCACTACAGGAACTATGTCTTCGGAGGGAGGCCATCAGATTAGCTCAGATAAAGGTAGTTTCATTGTGTTCTGGGTTTCTTGGTGCTTTTAGAATCTCTAGGTTGCCCTTGTGTGTCTCCAAAGGCACCCTGGGTCCTCTCACTTGTGTTATGAAAGATTAGCCTCATGCTGTTAGTCAGAAGGGGTTTATTTTATTTGTACATACTCATAAAACCCACAGCCATGGAGTTGATTCTGCACATAGTTGACTCTCCATTCTTAAATGGCAGTGGAAAAACAGACATTGAATTCTTTGGGTGTTCAAAGACTGGAGATTAGCTCTTCGAGATGCATTTGAATATCTTCTAGAGAGTTTTATCAGATTTTTTTCATTGATTGTGTGTAAAAATGCAAGACTAGGATTGAGATGAGAACTGAAGGGGGGAGTCAGGTTGCAGTAACAGTGCTTTTAGAAGCTAACGGATGCCATCTGCTTTCTGATTACTGATAGGTTCAGTTGTTAATGGGAGATAAAAAGATTTTGCTCCTCTTTTCCTCTTTGCTTGAGAGAGTTGGGCAGAGATGGAAGTGAGGAGGGGTGGCCATGTAGCAGGTTCAGGAGTATCTACCCCTTCCTGTGGAAGGTGGAGGCTGGCTTTCTGCATCAGATGCCCAAGGATAGGCGAAACCGAGTCTGGGAAACTGCCTCTGTGTGGAACGACAGAAAGGGTCAGGGAGATAGTTTATTGTGCCAGCCTGGACGATAAACACAAGTGGGATTAACTGAAGGGCAGAGAGGCAAATGGCTTGGTGAGTCTCGCCTTTCTTGTCTCTCGCTCTTTGATCATCGGACCAGTGTGCGCCTTGCTTGTTCTGTGCCTCAATTTAAAGGCTACACTACCTGTGGGACGCCTAGCCTGTGGACTGTGTCGCTGTAA